TCCATGGCCTCGTTCTATCTGTTTTGGTGACACATAATTGGCTTATTCTGAGTGTGAACAGTGTAATTTCACGTCTCTCATATAGCGCGTCTGTCTGTCCTGGCAGAGGCATCCCTCCTCAGGTGCTCTTCCTGAGGTTTCCTTCATTTTTTTAAATGTTCTAGGGGTCTTTTAGTGGGAGTGTTAAGCCCCCCGGGGCAGATTTATGATATTTGGTCTATATTAATAAAATTGACTTGACTAAATCACTACATTTATTTATCAGCTATGGGTACTTGTTTTTTTTCTTCTTTACCTACGATATCTTATGAAAGATTGATTGTTAACCAATATAATATACTATGGTATAATATGATATATAACATAGTATACCTTGCTCATTCATGCTGTATAATTGTGCTGCATTATACGCACATTTCCTTCACGTGACACATAACACGACATGCACATCACAACATTTTATTTTGCACTTTATAATTTAAAAGTTGTTGAACCTTATGAAACTTTGTTGTGTCAATATCCTACATAGTTTAGTCGTGTTTTTTTTTAGCGGCTGCACGTTCTGTTCCGTCTACTAATGTTGAAGTCAATTCAGTCTAAATCTTTTTCTATATTATTTGCAAAGAAAAAAGAAAAATTCCTCTATTCTGTTTTGAACCTTTGCAGAACTAAGTGGAGTTGGGTGTGTTTGCTGTTTTGTCAAAACTAAGTGGAGTTGGGTGTGTTTGCTGTTTTGTCGAAACTAAGTGGAGTTGGGTGTGTTTGCTGTTTTGTCAAAACTAATTGGAGTTGGGTGTGTTTGCTGTTTTGTCAAAACTAAGTGGAGTTGGGTGTGTTTGCTGTTTTGTCGAAACTAAGTGGAGTTGGGTGTGTTTGCTGTTTTGTCAAAACTAAGTGGAGTTGGGTGTGTTTACTGCTTTGTCAATTTCACACTGCAAATGCGCTTCAGCTCACCATATAATACATAACAAAAGGAGCCGCTTTGGGCTTGTTATCTGGTGTGGCTACAAGGTTAGCTGTCAGTAAAACCATCTTCTAATGTCAATGTCCCATTCTGGTGACTGGTGAATGCAACATACAGTAACTGACAGGGTCAAACTCATGTTTGAAGTACCTTTAATTTACGAGATATCATCGTTTTTCTAATTTTTAATCATAATTTCACAAGTGCTTAAAAACCTCGAAGGCAATCCACTGTCCTCGACTTTATTGGAAGTGTGTTTAGCTCAGCTGTGCACCTGTAGAGAGGAAGATTGATCCTAGTTTATCCATCTATTTCAATACAACTAAACACTTAGTCCAGGCAATTGTCACTGACATACTTTGACTTACATTCTTAGATAAATGCACAAGAGTGAAAAATGTTCTGATCGAGATCAGATGTGCTATCTGCTAAATACCTGCGTTTCTGCATTGCAACACTTGATACCATCACTATTCTGATATGGTTCATCTGCCTACCAACATAAATAGAATGACACAACAATAGCTGCGTTGTCACAGAGAGATGATAACATCCAAAACATTGCAGTTACAAGGAAGTAAATGAACCATTTCCCTGCAGGCTGAATATCATGCTTCCCTGTTCTTTTAATAGACTCGGCTGGTGGAAAATACGGACTGACAGCAGATGACAGCTGTAATCAGAGAGAGGATGATGTGTTTTCTACTGTATTCTGATCAGTGATCAGTTGTGGGTGAGCTTGGCCAGTGTGTCTGTGTTTTTGCAGGAGGCTTTAATACTTTTGCTGAAGATTAGCGATCGACTGACTGTTGTCTAACGGTCTCAGGTGGACATGCTGTGTTATTCTCAGCTGTTTCCCCCAAGGACAGAGATCATGTCCGGGTCATCAGGCGCTATTTATTGTTGTGTCGAGGGCTGCCCGTTGATGCCCGTGCTGGGGTTGATTTTTCCAATATGTGTTAGAATTATTATAAAACTCGAATTGTATGATTGTTTTGGTTAAATTCAACATTATGTTGCCTGTGTCATTAAATCCGCAACACATGCTTTATGTTTCTTATTCTAGTTTTATTCATGTACAGAATATGATATTAAACAGAAGTAACCTTTCTAACACTATCCATGTTTCTGATGGCGTGTGTCTATGTCTGCTCTCACATTTCTGCACTGAACTACTCTGACTTTAACTTGTCGATATGTTTTATGCTTAGTTTGGTAAATTTCCAACCGCTTCTCACTCCCAATGCGTACTACTGGCGCAGTACGTATTGCATATTTTATACAACATTGGTCAGTAGTATGTATGAGGTGGTTTCAAATACAGCAACAAACACAGAGAGACATACATGGATACGGAGGGGGAGGAAAAACCCAGAGGCAGGGCCCTGACCTTGACAGATCCGGAGTTCTTGACTCGTAAACAGTGGGTGTTTATCAAAGTCACGGAAGGATCCTTCAACGGCCGAATTTTTAGGATGCTTCATCGTCAAATCTCGCCGAAGGACTTTTCCAATGATGAGGATCCTTCCAATTCTACCGAGGGATGAGTCCTTCCTTCAGAGGATTTTCAAGGATGCATCTTCGATGTTCCTAAAAAACCCACAATGCTAAATGCGCCCCCGATTTGGTAACAGGTAAAATATTCTGGTCTAGGTCCAGATATTTACACCCCTAACTCTGAGAATTAAGGCTTTATTTTGACCAAATCAGAGTTGGTTTTGATGAGTTTAATTTTGTTTCTGCTTTGTTGTTGTTGTTGTTCAGTGACATTGTAATGCAGTGTTTTTTAATGGAGTCTGGTGGCATTGAGGAAAGCATATTCATTCCGTGTTTTTCAACATTTATGAAAAAGAATAATTGTAAAAATCCTTGTTGAGTTTATTTATTTTTTGACAGGTCTACATGTTTTGAATCTGTGTATATTGTTTTGAGGAATGCAAAATCAATATTCCCAATATAAATTGTGCAGATTCAGGCAAACATAACTTGTGCAACAAAAGACGACCCAACAAAGGAACAGAGCTGGTATAAATAGTGAGTGAGTAATCCGGGAAGTGAGAACAGGTGAGCAGGAGGTGAGGTGGGTGCAGGAATAATGATGGACAGGTGAAACAATTTACAGCAAGACTTTAAAAAGCATTTTTGCTTTAATATTACTTTTAAACTGTACATAATACACATGAGTCCTCTTTGGTTGTCTGTACATTGAAGAATACAACAGCTTAGAGAAAAGAAAAACTCATTTTAACTTGGATTTACAGCACAAAGATCGCAAAAAATATTGGCTTTAAAAAGGGAAAATTGTACAATAAAATATCACAACAGTACAGTGCATATCAAATTTCCGTGGAACCAGTCTTAGATGGATACACTCCTACGTCTCCTCAGTTTTGTTCCTAGCTTCGTATAGGCATGCATCTTTTTATTGGACACAGGCATTATGATCACCTCTGAATCTGTCGGGCTGTCCTCGTTCAGCGTCTCTAAGCTTTTCAATATAGTTGTTGTACTTGTTATGGAAAACCTGTTACTCGTTACTGAGGAAGTATTCATTTCAGGGATATGTATGTCTATGTCTGTCACCAAATCAACTTTTCGATTGGTGATGACTCGCCATCTCCTCAGAATGCTCTCTAGTGTGTCCATCTTTGGCCCCCTAAGGGCTTCGTAGCACTTGGGTAAGAAATGGCAGAAGATGATGCCATAAGTGGACACCAGAATGGCTGAAGCCTGCACAGGAGAGGCATTTTCATTGTTGGTGATATAGACTGGGACAAAACACACCCATACAAACAAGTACATCAGCATGCTGAAGATTATGTAGCCTGTTTCGCTGAACTCCTGCGGAACCTTCCTGACTTTGACGGCCAAGAGGAAGCCAACCAATGCTAGCAGAGCTATGTAGACCAACATAAAGCCAAAACCTATGTATGTGGGACCTTCACTACACTGAATTAGTTTGATCATGCTTTGTGGGGACGGAGGAGTGGGATCAATATCAGGGGAGTCAAAGATGAGCCAGAGAAGACAGATGATCCCCTGGAGAGCAGTTATGACGACGACAATTACAGTCGGCTTATAGAGTTTGTTCAGTCGCCTGCAAGTCAGCTGACCGAAGGGAAGGAAAGCCAGGAAGGTACGGTAGGCCTTGACTAGGATGCAGGACACACACAGGGTGAAGCCCAGAGCATACATTACCTGGCGGGCCCGGCAGAGGTGTACACTGGGCTTGCCCATGAAGCATATCACACTTGCGAAGCTCACTGACAGACCAGCCATCATAATACAAGACAATCTCACCTCAGCTCTTTTCATAGGTGGGGAATCTCTGTACACCAAAAAGACAATGAAGGTAACGAACAAGAGCAAGATGCCAAAGACTGTGGCTGCAATCATGATGATGGGATGAGTATCTTTCCATCGCAGGTAGGACTCAGATCTTGGCATGCACTGATCCCAGCCCTTGAGAGACCAAGTTCCATTGGGACACGCTTTGCAGGTATGAAGATCTGTTAGAGAAGATGGTGATGTACATATTAGCCAAAATCATGGTTTATTTAGCTAGAAGTCAAATGTACTTTAAAAACCTAAAATAAACCTAATGTGGACAGCACTATTTAAATACACTATGGGGACAGCCAAAACGTCCCCGGTAAGGACCCCAGTGTCTCAAGTTGGTTTATATTTTGAAGTTAAATTAAACCCAAAATCAGAATATCAATGAGTCATACCCCAGGCGTCTGCAAAGGTCCCCTCCAGACAAGGCGTGCAGTTGTAACAGCAGTATACGTTCAGGATCTTCTTCACTGAGCCAGGGGCGCAGCGCTCTGAGCATCTGTACTGAGGGATCTGAGAGAGCAAAACGAGAGAACAAGAGTAACTGAGCAGTCTGTAGGGAGATAGTCTGTACATGTTTAAACTAGCCTTTGCTGGAAGTTTCGGTTAAGGCAACAGTACCTATTAGTTGGGTTTGGGAAAAGAGCTTCTCACAGGACAAAATTACAACTTTTAGTTTAAACAACAGTCTCCTGGCCAAAAGTCCTGTGTTTGTATGACTCATCCATCTCCTCTCCCAGCCATCTTGTGTGGACTATCTTGCTCTTTATACTACTGCCATTGCTGTGAGCATCTAATAAGGACACAAGTGTGTTTACATTGAAATTAGTTGCAAGCCTGGTGCGTAGCAAACTCAGCTAAAGCGTTCCTCTGTGCGTCAGTGTCAGACACTGAGGCGCACTGACCACCTTATGGAATTTGAACCATAAGGAACGAGAACAGGTTGATCAACTTGAGAGGGAAGTTCAAACCGGCCTGTTGTAGTTTCTCACAGTGCAATGAATCCCACAAAAGGTTCCTAATCCCTGGATTAGAGCTTTTCAGTGTTTTATGGTCTGAAAAGCAGTTTAAAGCGTGAGGTATTTCCTGACCACCTGACTTTTTCTCTTGACTCAGGCACTGTCCTGTGTAAGGATACACAGACAGCAATACATTGACTATTGCAGCAATCAAATCTGTTAGTGGATGTTGTGAGTACGTTGTTGTCTCACCGTGGTATTGGCTGTTGAAAACCAGATGATATTTTCAATATCGATCTTTATTTTTTCATCGAGGACATGGTATTTCCCAATCTTTTGAAATCGTCTGTGGTGTCCATCTTGTCCCCAAATGACCAGATCATAAAAACTTACAAAATCCCCATTTTCGTCAAAGTAGAAATTCTGGTTGTCAAACTCAAAGTTAACTTTCTTCAGTTCCTTCAGAAGCTGCAGAGCAAAGAGCAGAATGTCAATTAAAATCGGTCCTTTTGCATGAATTAAACTGAGATTGACCACCTTAGCATACAATTTCACAAACTGTTATTCACGAGAATTCTAAGGGTTAGAAACGCACATTACATTGTAATTCCTAAATGATAAGGAAGTTACAGATTTAAATCTGTTGTTATCTGATTATGATATCCATTCTCACCTTCCATGGTGGGAAATTAATCTCTCCCAAGCATGATGAACTGTTGCACTTTAGTAGCTTTTTAAGAGCATTTGCTGTGGCCCTCACTGCTACTTTGTGAAGGAAGGTTTCACTTGTATCCAGACCCTTTATGAGAAAGTCATCATTTTCCTCTTGGGGATCCTTGAAAGTGCATGCATTGGCAGATTTGATTCTCAGGAGATCAGGTGTAGGACAATAAGATGGAGGCTTGCTTGAGAAACATTCTGAGCTGCAGTTGAATCTCAAGTTCTTGTATTCTTCGATAAAGCGGTTGTACCCTCCTGGGGTTGCTGTGAGATTCTTGAGATAGTTATCAAATGATTCACTCTTTTCTGAAACAAACGTAATGCCCAAGATGTCCCCAACCTTATTGATTCCTTCCATGTGGGCGAGGACCCTGCTCTTGGACCAGGCATCACTGGCAATCCAGGTCCTTGATGTGTTGGTCCTGATCATTTCCTTAAAGAGGACCTCCACCAGTTCTACCTTAAGGATCAGCAGTACCACCTGGGCATCGGAGGAGCGGATCTGCTTGGCGACTCGCTTGATGTGTTGCAGGCTGAGTGAATGATCAAGGTAACTAGGCAGCGCCTCCTGGTAGGCCAAGCACACACTATTTGCATCAGCAGCCCCAAGGAAGCTCTGGAAAGCTGCACTGCCGTACTTGTCGTCGCCGTACACGACCCCGACCCAGTTCCAGCCAAAGTGATGCATAATTGTGGCCACTGCTTTGGTCTGATGCTTATCACTGGGAATAGTGCGCATGAAAACTGGGTAGCGCAGCTTATCACTCAGGTCTGGTGCAGATGCTGTGCTGCTCAGCTGATGAGAAGATTATAAAATAAAAATAATTACATTTATTTGACAGCCAAAAGTCACCTCAAATCCCCAAATTTCCCCCCTGCAAATGATGTTTTTGATTTGAACAACAGTAAGTGTACATCTTTAAATTGTAGGGCCCTTTCACACCTACATCGTTCCACGGTCCGGACCAAACAGCCAAATTGAGCCATGGTTCGGTGAATGTTTTTTTTTAGATGGGTCGGTCTTTACAGGGATTACAGGAAGCTCTGATCGAATATCGTCAGAAACCAGAAAAAAGGAAAAACAATGCAACAAAACAAAAAGAGCCACGATGACGTCAGGACGTTGGTATGTCATGTCTAGTTGTTAATATGCTCTCACATAATTGCAACGTGAAACCAAAATCAAATGTATACAATGTAACAGAAATGTGAACCATGGTACACTCAAGTGTGAAACGGCCCTTAGCGGGATTATAACACTATGAAATTTGATTTAGTGCTAGAATATTACAAATATTACAACTACTACAAACTTAATCATTCTGTGAAATATGCTTTTTTGAGGTCTTACCAAGAGTTAGATGAGAAGAAAAACAATTGAGTCTCTGTGGGTTCAGTGAAAAGACTAGGATTTGGTTGACCTATCTTAGTACAAAGACTGGAATTACGGGCAAACATTTGGCCTCTGTCAAAATACTGAACATATGCCTTCCATAGCTAGCAAGTCAGGCACCAATACATCGAAAATGACCTGTGTTGTTATCCGAGTTTGAAAATTATAGATTTCATCCAACTCCCTATAAGAAGCCAAACATATTATAGGAAGACAAACATATTTCCAAACATATTTCCCAATGTGTTGTAGTAATTCTTCAACAAATGCAGCAACAAATGGGGTCTATTGCCCGGGCATGAAACACCCTCAGCTGAATGAGTGATCATGAATGAGAACATAAATGCACTAAATACTTGGCAGTTAAACATATTTGCTGATCAGACAGTATTTGTGACTTACTAGAGGGACCATGTACACAGTCAGCAGTCTGGCCACAACGATGGACACCTCAGAGTACAGAGCTCCTAAGACAATCTTGACTCTGGGCCTGTAGTCGGTGTAGTCGCACATCACAGTGAGAGAGCCGTTGACTCCCAGCATGTGCCCCACACTCTGCAACGCCTTGCTTGCAGAGGAGCATGTGTCACACATCAAATATCCAAGACGCACTCCTGGGAGGAAGCCGGCTGCATTTATGGTCTCAATTTCATGGATTACAGCCAAGGATCTCAGAAATGACTCCAGATCAAAACTGAAAACGGACCGGGTGGAAAAACATCAAATTATCTTTAAGACATTTTGGTTAGAGGTGTTTGAGTTCATAGAGGACGTCTGCAGAAGACCACACCTCCATGCTGAAGATGAGAAGCATTTATTGAGAATCTTCAGGACCACAGAACTGAAGAAAGATGGAAAAGACCGCACCCCCAGACTTAATTGACCCTTCGCTGAGTCCCGCCCCTCAAACACACAGTGGCCAATCATAGCGTAGCATCAGACAGCTTCGACCAGGGTTCGACAACTCTCCGGCTCTGCCCCATAAAACCTCCCACAATGTTAGATTTTCTTCATTTTCAGGCTGGTTTTGTGGATTTCGAGCAATGTCATGGTAAAACATTGTGTAATAATGATTCTCGAGAGGTTGGAAGGAGGTATACGCATTTTATTTTTAACCTATTTTCACAGCTGAATCAGTTTGACATCCTTGATATATCCTTCAAATGCATACTGTAGAACCCTTCGAGTCTTTACGTTCAAATTAAAAATATTAAGAGCATGGCAATGAGTTTTTATTACAGTTTAATTTATTACACCTATCACAAAAATGATTCCAATTAACATTAGTAGGTTATGCCTATACACACATATTTCCCAAGGTTTCTGTATTAAAATTCTGTAAACATTCTATAAATGGATACGTCTCAATTTGTAGCTATTTTATTATTCCTATCCTGTCAGTGTTCAGATTGTGCATTTTTAATTTTTATAAATGAATATGGCTGTATGAAATGCAAACAATTTTGTTGGGGGATTCAAGATGACAAAAGAGAAAACAGTTAGGGAGAAATAATAATATTAAGGGACTTTTTTAGTACAACCCACACGCTTAGAATGAAAGATATACTTCCTCACACATATATGAAGACCATCTAATGTAGAAAATCTATATTTTCTTGTACTCACTCTAAGCAGTGGAAGCCTTCAGGTCTGATCCGCTCCTGGAGAGCCTTCACTTTACGATGACACGGCAACATTATTCCAATCATAACGTCCCCAGAAGCATGAGCGCCGCAAACTGGCTGAGCAAAGTCACACCCGTCCACACGAGCCGGGATGCTGCTCAGTATTATCAGGGCCCAGAAGAAGCTGCACGGCGGAGCACGCGTCTGCATCCTGAATGGCCTCGGTGGATCGAACACTTCTGTGTATGAACACTTCTCTCTCGTGTGGACTTTGGCTGGTGCAAGACACGATGACATGCAAATAAACCTGTTTTTAAGAGGAACTGAAAAGAATGTCCTCTGCATCAACTTTCATCCTCCTCCTCCTCCTCCTCCTCCTCCATTGACAAGGAAGTAAAGTACCAAAGATCTCAAGTGTTGCATAGAATAATAAGGCAGACTGTTTCTGTGGTTCCCGAAGTGAGGTCCAGGGTTCTGCAGAGGCCCTTCTTGTTGGGAGTCACAATGAATGAACGGTTTGGTCAACCAATTCTAAAAAATGCTGGTTATTTATTTGCCACTTACTCTCATGAAAACAATATAAAAAACAAAATAAAAAAAGTGGAGAGCAGGGCTGTATTTCAGAGGATCGGCGGTTCGATCCCCGGCTCTGCTAATCACATGCCGATGTGTCCTTGAGCAAGACAAAAAAGTCAGTAAGTGACCAGCAATTATAAAGTATTATGAAGCTTGACCTTATAAGTCATTATAAAATGCTTTATAATGTGCTATGATTGTGCATTATGAATATAGCATTATAACGTCTATAAGCAGATTATAAGTATGTTTATAATGCACAGGCGGGCCGTGGTAGAAAGCTCCAGAACAAAGCTGGAGCTTGAGTCAAGCTGTGTTTTTGTGAAGACAGTATGTCCCCGGGTTGGTTTCTTCCTTTGTATGAGTCAGCAAGATGTCAACAAACGTGTTCAATGAAGTCAAGAAAGACAACATTGGATCGACACTTGAATTCATATTTATTTAAAAAAGAATCATCCAGAGAGTTGTCAAGTCACCTGACTGCTCTTAAATGATCTATAAGACCACTTTGTTTTTTCAACATTACATTCAAATGAAACCCAAATAAATAAAAAATCAACAGTAACACAGTTAGTTGACTGTCATCAGAGTGGCTCTACAGCAGTGGTATTAGTAGGTAACACTTTAGCATGAGGTTAGACAAACAAACCGCTTATTAATGCCTGGATTAGCGTAAAAAAATGAATATGGCTGTTTCCTGGTTCTTTCACTGCTAAACTAACGCTACGCTCCAATCAGCCTACAGTAAGTCAGTCAGTGGCCTATCAGTGTGTATGAAGTCACATCTGTAGGTAAGATTTATTCATTTGTTCCCTGACTGGGTATTTGTGCAGCCCTATAATGAAGTGTTACCTCTTTGTAGCCATACAGGCCACACACACACACACACACACACACACACACACACACCATGCTAAAATAGTGGAGCATGCATCATTGTCACACTGAAGGCTACACCACCACCCTGTCCCGCTGGGTCACAGGAAGCAGGCCCGGTGGTTTAAGGGAGGAGGGGATGGGCAGCTCGTGCAGGCTGTCCAGGAAGGTCGCAGGGCTCAGCTGCTTCAGAACAGTCTGCATGGCGGAGAGGATCAGCGGAGCCGGCCTCCTTTCTGCCAGGTACTTGTAGGTCTCCTCGCCCAGCACCTCGCTCCAGCGCTCCGGCTCCCTGCTCAGAGCCCCCTTCATCTTAAAGTGAACCTTCGGCATGAACATGAGCAGGTTGTCCAGGCACTGCCTCCTGCTCCCCGCGCCGTTCGTCTCCTTGCTGCAATCCCCGAGTTTCTGCAGAAGGACGTCCAGCGGCGTCAAGCCGTCGCGGTCCGGGGCGTGCGGGGACGCCCCGCTCCCCAGCAGCATGACGACCGCCTCGGGGAGCAGGAGCTCGCAGGCCAGATGCAAAGGGGTTCGGCCGTCCTCCATGTGGAAACACCCGGCTCGGTCCGCGCAGGAGGAGGAGAAAGAGGTGGAGGAGCGAGAGGGCGAGCCGGTTATCCGGTGAGTCTCCTGCAAGATGAGGCCGAGAATGTAGCGCCGGTCGTAGCGGACGGCCATGGCCAGGTGTGGGGATGCAGGGGACGGGCAGCGGCAGAAGCGCTCCCCGGGCTTCGCCAGCGCTTCGTGGATGTACCGGGTGAGTAGATAGCGCGCGTACGCCTGGTGGTCGTGGACTATAGCGTAGAGCAGCGCCTCCGACGGGGTGTAAGTCCTGTGGCAGGCGTCCCCCTCCTGGTAAAACGTCTCCATCGTGCGCATGTCCTCCAGCATCCAGACCGGCTTCAGGTCCCGCACAGCCCGGTAAAAGAGCAGCGAGAAGGACTTGCGATGCTCCTCGAAGCTCTGAGCCGCTGAACTTACGGCTAGAGAGGCCATGGCGACCCGAGTAAAGTTATGTCATCAACGGGCTCCACAGCGTTCCTTCATCGCTCCGGAACCATGACTAGAAGAGCTAAGGAGTTACAGGAACAGAGACACATTGTTATGTTTACTTAGGAAACAACGAGGCTAAAGGGCAGACTACCTCCCCGTCTTCAACGTCACATTCCTGCACGCTCTTTGACAGCTGCGGAATTCCTTCTCTCGCTCTCTGCAGTATTGCGCCAGTACGCATGCGCATATTACAATCACGTCAAAAAAGAGTGTCGGAAACTTTATTGACAAATGTGTTTAAATGTCTCCAGAAGGGTTAATACCGCAGTCATAATTAGAACCGGAGAACTGCACTCTTCCCGTCGTACCGAGAGTTTTCAGAACATTAAATGATTTTGAGAATCATGTGGATATAAAGTGGATAAACATTAGATGGTTGTGCTGTACTGCTCTGGTCAACATTGTATCTGGGACCCTCATTCGCCTGTTTTTAAATGACTTTGACATAACTAGGAGTTATAGGTGTGGATAATGTAGAATTACACAGTTGCTTAATTATTTTTGATCAAGCTCAGTTATTAATATAATACCTGTGTTTCCATTTTTTAAAACTGAGATACTTAATCTTAAATAAGCACTGAGGTGATCTCAAGAAGCACAGAATATTCACCAACAATGCTTTAATTAATATAATATCGCCATAAACTGCTGTAAAAAAACCGACTTAGTTAGAAAACTTGTAGCTGTATGTAATTTATGAAGAGCATTTCCTTTATATTCCACTAATCACTCAAGTTACATCTGTCATTTTGTGACACATTCCAGTCAATTTAATTATGTTCAATTCAGTCAGTTTATTCTTCAGTGTAATGAGTTAATACCAAACCCTCAACTCAATCTGCTTATATATGATATTGTGTTCAATGAGTGTGTAGATTTTTACTCATTCACCAACTGCTTTTAATCTAGATTATTCCACAGCCAGCAGACCTCATCGTGTTTTTTCTTTCATAAATGAGGACATAATCTGTGTCTGAACAATAATCACAAGCACAAACCTGCTGAGGATACGGTGCCCTCTGGTGGCACAACAATGGCTGCCTGCACTGAGATAAGACATCAGAACATTGTCACGCAACATGTCCACTTTAAACCTCAAAGCACAACAACATACACGTTATGTTTCTGCAATATTGAATCATTGCAGAAACAGCAAGGCTATGGAGAGTGAGCAGGTAATCTACGGTCAGACGTCGTCAAACTGTGACGCTCTAGGTTCCCCTCTAGCGTCAGTTTTGGACGTGGCAGGGACGGTGTGTCAGTTTCTCCTCATTAGATGCCAAGTATCCTTTCAAAGTAAACTTCCACCTTCAAAGGAATTTCAGGCAACAAAAACACTTAGGTTTAGAAAACTCAAACCTAAACTTGACTGACTAACGGCTCACGTGACTAGCGAGTCGTAGTGACTAGCTAGGGACAAACGAGTCACTCGAATAATGACACCAACAAGTCACGTGACTAACAAATGACGTGACAAAATGTCAACGTTTACTTTTAAGGCCGTAACATACCGGGTGTGTGAAGGAGTTACGGCAGCAATTAAGACCTATTTAGTCGTTCTCCATGGCAGCTTCAAGGCTCATGCATGAGAAGAGTTTTCAACAGTCTGGAATACATCACGGATGAGTTTCCTGTTTTTTATTGTTATAAATAACAAAAGACAACAGTATGTTTAGGGCCACCTCCACCAGCTCTGTTTAAAAAAGGTATACATCATACAGTCATGCATGCAAGTATGTCCACATGTACATGCCTCCCTACTGTATCATCTATAGAATTACAGATTAACAGAAATTGATTAATTGTTTACAGTAATGAGAAACACATGAGATAATTTCTATTATCATTTCTATTTCTATTCATTAGATTCGCTCCTCTAAAGATGAGGACAACACTATACTCTTCAAGAGCCAATTTCTCTGTGACAGCATCTTTTATCATTACGTGTGCTTCTGTACGCTTTCCACAGTACAGTGTACATGGAGCATCAGAGTTGTGTAGTAATCATCTTTGATCACACTGGGGCAGTGGTGACTTACTGAATGTGGACTTTGAATGTATTGCAGATGTCTAAACACAACGACGGATGTGCAGAGATGGAACAGAATCTAACAATATATACACACATCGCAACGTGTCTGCATGTCTTTCAGGTTACCTGGGACTCAGGAGGGTAAAGGTATGAATAATGAAAGGGATTGGTTGCAGAGAAATACGACAGATAAAATAAAAGGAGATGAAATAACAAGAAATCATAAGTCACAAGTCCAATCATAAGCTTATGAGTCAAGTCTTGATATAATGATCACATATCCACATGTGATCTGCATATCTTAGGAAAAACATGTTTATGAAGGTTATAATGCATTTATATTTGGGATCTGGCTTGCACTGCAATCAGATCTCATGCAGGTGTAAAAGATATCTGTACAGTTTGACCACATTCTTATGAAATAGTTAAACATTCTGGGAAATACACTTATGTTTGCTTTCAAAGTGTGAGATAAGAAGATTGAAATCAATCTCGTGTGTGTGTGTGTGTGTGTGTGTGCACATGTACACAGAGCTGGAGTCAGGATGTGGTTCCTTTAGAAAGCTGTTTGTGTAAGGATTAAACAAACAAGATGCAAGAGAATGATTTAGATCTCACACTTGGAAAAGATGGATGAGGTGACGGAAAAACTCTCTTTCTAATGTTTTTTCGTAGGTACTGTAGTTCTTTACTGTCAACAATATAGGTGGTAAAGCGGCTGCGCCACTCACAACATGAATTAAAGAGCAAAGACAAGACAATTCATCGAGGACAGACAAGAAAAACGGAGCAACGATAAACAACACAAAATTGAGCTTGAAGCTTCATCCTTGAAAATACTGGCTTGACAAAAACAATTCTCAATGCAAGATTCTCCTTACTTCTCATTTCAAAAACGTTCATCCCCATCTCTTGGCTTTACTCGGTTAGAGCGGCCAGGGGTTACCTTCTCTACGCATGTGTAACCGCTTGAGAAAATCTGCCAGAGGAAGGCCATGAGATGTGGCAGAAAGCTTCGGAAACAAGAACTTTCATCTTGACAGAACATTTTTAACTCAAGGTCCACTTACTAGCTTTTTCAAGAACTTTCCAGCACATCTTTCAATAAATTCAAACAGGTGTGAATGACCAGTAATTACACAAAACATCTGTATGTCACACTAAATCAGAAGAAAGCTGTGAATGTTCCAGTGTGACTGATCAAATTGCCACCACTAATGGTCAGCTCTAATCTAAGATTCCTTTGATTGGAGCCGCACGCTCTCATCCCCGTGAATAAGGCTTTGATTGAATTTGCATTTGCAGGATGGTCAGCAACGAGTTTCAGCTGTGACCACGTCCCTTTTATCCTCAGTAATTACACTCTTCTATTCCCACCAATTGAATTAGACGTCGGTATATGAACTGGTTCAACAAGCCCTCAGGCACGCTTTGAAATGTAATGCGAGCACTGCAGATCTGTTTGGGTCCTGATTTCTATGTAAAGCGTTTGTTTAATTCTCCCGCTAATTAATGTAGAGTCTGGTGACCTCTGCTGCACACAGATGCCGGAAAATCATTGGTGTGTGAACGTCTGTTTGAGGGTGCTGATCTGGGAGCAGTGTGAAGACAGAAGCACCATGGGACTCCGTTTATCCAGGGTCAGATCTTTACATCAGTCTGGGAAAATTACAGCATGATATTAGTCTTTTAAAGCAAAATTCCTGTAAAAAAGGTCCCGTAATGGTAATGCTTTTAGCAGATTTAATAGTTATTAATCAATTAATATCAAAATATGTAGGCGTGTGGAGAATGTGATTAGACTCAACACTTTCAGGAGCGACAGTGAGTTAAACCTGCTGTGAATCTGGCCTCAGCCTGCAGGAAGAACTGCGTCCTCACCTACAGTAAACATTGTAGTAGTCTAGGTTTCAGTTGAGAGCTTTTATTGCCCCATTGTGCTTTAGAAGCTCTGTAGAAATAAGGGAATATTCAATATGATTGGGAAGATTTTTGTTGAGTTTACATTGAAATCCTGGATTAGTGGCCATAATGCTGTAGAGACTGTCTTTGCAAGTACTCCCAACAAACGATCCGATTGAATGTGAAGCAGAAACTTGCAGGACGTTTTCTGAAGTCCGGTGTTTAGCTAGCTAGCAAGCAGACCATGTGTTCTGAAGGGTGACAGCATTTTTCTCAGACCCCTCACTATTTCCTCTTGTTTCCGTACATTTAGGACAAGCAAAGATTTTGATCCAAGTTGAAATACTTGCGCCTTGAGTAAATGCATATGACGAAATCGAAACAGCAAAATAAATTCCCGCCACCATGCAAACTAGTGCTGGAAGCGTGCCGCTAGTTGGCCTGTAGCATCCTGGCACACGACTGCCAAAATGGCATGAATTAACAAAATACTACACTACATTTAGAAGGCTGCTTTGTCTGGAAAAGAGAGCTCCATCTCCTCCAGTGTCCCTTAAATATGGCGGCAGGTCTGCCCTTCATCAGCAGATCAGAAACACCTGAGAGAGAGAAGCAGAGGAAAACGTTTTGCTGTAGCAGCAGAATCTAAAGTTTTTACTACTAGAATGGTTTTAAGTTATTTTTTAATGCTAAGTCATCATCAGCTAGCACTGCCTCAAGCTCCCCTCCTCAAATGTTTTTGAACAAACAAAGCTCTTTAAGAGACTGTTACGGGTCTTCACACAAGGAGAAAGCACCAGGGGATATTTACTGCCCAAAGTCCACGCGTACTTCGTTTGATGGGTTTTCCAGTTAAAGAAAAAAGTCTGCAGGGAGTTTTCTTTTCTACTTTCTTCAAGGGTAAAAGAAAGAAGAAGAACTCAGCTGAAGCTGCTGGAAACAAATTATCTTGGCACACTGTCGCATCACTTGGCCATTGATTTAGGGGGAAATAACACCAAACAAAAAAACTGACATAAAAGTACATCACAAACGGTCGATTTTTGGATCAAAGGAAGACAGGAGGGGGGCATCGCTTGTCGTCTTGTCTATGCATCTGTCCTGCACTGTGGTGGCATCCGTCTGAATCGAACGTCATTTTAAGTCGACAGGTGATGTGTTGACATGACGACATACTCTGTGCTGCCGTTTTAAGAGCGGAGCGGAGCTAGTCAAAAGAGAACGAGAAGAAAACCCAGCCTGAACCATACGCAGAGACATACCAAATATCTCTAACAAAAGAAGCGTTATTTTAACAAATTAACCAAAATGGTGAACTGAATATTTACAGTGTGGTGCATGAGTGCAAAACATAAAGATTAACTAAGTCAACATAGCCAAAAAGAAGGTGCCCAAATGAGAAGCAGAGGACTAATGCAGCAGCTGCAGAGCTTTATAGACTGGGAACACTGGGCCCAGGTGCTCCCAGTTGGCCCTAATGATCCCTGCCACCAGGTATCTGGAAAACATGGCAAATGACAGATTGGCAGGAAAAGGCTGCAGAATCTACTTTTATGAAACAAGATGTCTGTGTATTACTCATTTTTAAACACTGGTAAAAAATAATCTCTATTATCACGGCGACCAAAGCATGCTCGCATAACAGTAAAACATATGACGTCATACTTTAAAGGACACTTCTAGATGTACCATGGCCTGCATGACATGCATTACAAATAGCTGACTGAACTGTTGGAAAAACACACTCAATGTAAAACTCTAGGGCATGCTTTAAACAACTTTTAATAACACAAACAATATAAATAATTTGAAGTAATTTGGCTAAAATGACGTCCACATCTCATGGTCTCATCAGTGAATCAGCTCTCGCTGTGTACTGAGCCCCAGAAGTCCTGAAACACTTATCTAGTTGTTTGGTGAAGATAATAACTTGCAAAAATAATTATCTTGTGCATACAATGCTCAGTATTTTCCTTGAACAACTAGATTCACAAATTTTAATCAAGCGCCACTCAAACACGTTTATTTTGTGGGGGGGGGGGGGGGGGGAGTTTTCGGGGGGAG